GGCGGGTTGGGGGGACTGGGGTTGGCGTCGGGGGCCGGGGGAGCTAAAACTCGGGGCGGGGTGGAATGACGGGAACGCCCCTGGGGGCCGCGCTGCGGGGGGGCCGCGCGGGGCGGCGTTTTGGGGATTTCGCGTGCGCGCGAGTGGATTCGTGTGTCAGAGGGATAGAAAAGGGTGAAGGAGAGGAGTAGTAAGTGAGGGAAGTGAGGGAGGTCGCCGCCGCGCCCGGCGATAGCGACCGGTGTGGTGGTGGCCTGGTGGGTGCGTCCGGCCGTCCGGCCCACGACTCGGTGAGGCCCAAGACGATAGTTTCTCGTCTTCTTTCTTTTTTTTTCTCTTTTATTTATTATGGACTACTATCTTCGTTCCGAAAAGTAAGGCATATTTTGTTTTGTGAATAAGTTTGTGCCACTGGATTCATATTTTAAAAAAAACACTTTGCTACTACGGTCGCGATTCCGTATCACACAAAGTGAAAATACTAAAAGTGTAGTTGTTGGCCAAAGTCTTATCTTGACGAAACAAAATACGCCTTGTTCATCGGAACGGAGGGAGCCCGTAAGTTGCCACGGGAGCCGGTTTTTTTTAATGCGTGTAAATGCTAGGTCTGTGTTAAGTTAAGGTACAAGGAGACGTAGTTGCACCTTATATGGCATAGCGCGGGCGGAAAGCATCAAGGATTAGATTTTTATTTTGACTAAACGGCATACGGGGAAGATGGGATCAAATATGGCATGAAATTAAGCGGCATAATTTCAAGTTATTGCAAAAGATAATAAGTTAATTAAGATGGAGTTGATGCAGTGCTGCAAAAGGTATGTAAACTAGATGACGCCCCGCGCGTTGCTGTGGGAACCTTGGTAAAACATTTGCATAAATAAATGTTAGAAAACTAGCACTATTGCAAAAAAATAAGAATGCTCTCATGATATATTTTGAAAAAATAAAGTATATGAAGCACGTGACAAAATGTTTTATAAAAAAGATAAATCTATTGGATTGAAGTCAAACGGGATGCTATTTTTATCGAAAATATGTAACATGACCTACATATATTTTCTCCAAAAATACAACATACAAATATATGTAGGTCATGCTATAAAAATGTGTAACATGACTATCTACTAGTGGTTTGGGCCCGCTATTGCGGGTCTCTTGATAGAACGTTGTGCGCGTATTTCTCTCTCTTAAAGAAAAAAAAGAAAAAAAACTCATCTTCATCTCAAAATTAAATAAAGAATCTCGCAACCCGTGGACATCACATCCATATCAAAAAGAAAAAGGATAAGCTAAAAAATCTCAAAAGGAAAAGAAATAAAAATTCTCACTTCCAGCTTTCAAAAATAATCTCCAAAAAAATTTACTCTAAAGAAAAAAATCTCACTTTCATCTTTCAAAAATAATCTCCAAAAAATTTAAAAAGTTTCTCGCCACGTCCAACCAGCATGTGCCACGTGGCCATGCTGGTTGGCCGCCCTTCTCCCGCACGTTAATGTCTTAATGCCCGCCCAAAAATAAGTGAAACAAATCAACATGCATGGTTGCTGAGGTGGCATGGTTTCATGAATAACAAATTGTAACTTGTGACCACATGCATGACTTAATGATGTGGCATAGTTGCATGAAGAGGAAAAACATGCATGTTTGCTGAGGTGGCATGGTTGCATGGATAGATTAGTATACAAATTGTAACTTGTGACCACGTCGTTGACTAGACATGGCACAATTGCATGAAGAGGAAAAATAGATAGTGGATTACAAGTAATTAAGAATAGAGGATTAATGTGATTGAGTGGCATTTTTGGAAGGTGCGATCAAATATGGCGTGGTGGGAAAAATCGATTGGATTGGATAAAAAATCGATGGTGGGACGTGATGGAAGGGTGTGAGCCGGTTGATGAAGAGTTCTGCCTAGCATAAAATGGAACGCTACTTTTTTTAAGTACTAGGTATGTTCTCATGCGCTGCCACGGAGCTGAAAATTTGTAATGTATAAATGTTATGTCTATTTTAAGGTAGAACATGACGTAATTTCACCTTATATGACATGGGGCTGACAGGAAGCACCAAGATATAATTTTGATCATAAATTTGGTGGCATGGGTCATGCATGGTAAGTAAACTAATGTGATTGAGCGGTCTACGGAAAGGTGCAGTCAAATATAACATGGAATTGAGCGGAGTAACTAGCACAATGCGCTTGCGTTGCTACAAAGTCATAAAAGCAGATTAGTTATCACCGTAGAGATCGCCAAAAGATGATGGTCCTGCAACCGTTCAATGGTTCATGATTGAAAAAGAGAACGAAAATATAATGGAAGGTCATGTTGCAGTCAGTAAAGAGTTTCGAGCGATCATAGTACGTCTTTTGCAAGATTTATAGTGAGATGACATTTTAAATTTGAAACATATTGGAATGTGCATGAGTAAGTGTTTTTTAATGGTATGATTATGTTGAATGCACAAGATCATGAATTCAGTAGTAGAGAATGTTGGGTAACGTAGTAATTTCAAAAAAAATCCTACGCACACGCAAGATCATGGTGATGCATACCAATGAGAGGGAGAGTGTGTCCACGTACCCTAGTAGAACAACGTGGTTGATGTAGTCGTACGTCTTCACGATCCGATCAATCAAGTACCGAACGCACGGCACCTCCAAGTTCAGCACACGTTCAGCTCGATGACGTCCCTTGAACTCCGATCCAGCCGAGCTTTGAGGGAGAGTTCCGTCAGCATGACGGCGCGGCGACGATGATGATATTCTACCGACGTCGGGCTTCGCCTTAGCATTGCTACGATATTATCGAGGTGGATTATGGTGGAGGGGGGCACCGCACACGGCTAAGAGATCTCAAGGATCAATTGTTGTGTCTTGATGACCCACAAGTATAGGGGATCTATCGTAGTCCTTTCCATAAGTAAGAGTGTCGAACCCAACAAGGAGCAGAAGGAAATGATAAGCGGTTTTCAGTAAGGTTTTCTCTGCAAGCACTGAAATTGTAGGTGATAGATAGTTTTGTGATAAGATAAATTGTAACGAGTAACAAGCAATGAAAGTAAATAAAATGCAGCAAGGTGGCTCAATCCTTTATGTAGCAAAGGATAAG